CAAAAGAAAGAAAAGAAGGTGGGTGGCGCCTGTGGCTCAAAAGGGTAGGGCACCTGTCCCATATGCTGGAGGTGGCAGGTTCAAACCCAGCCCAGACCAAAAAAAAAAAAAAAAGGGAAGGGGGAGAGAAAAGGAAGAAAGACAAAATATAGAGCAGAAAAGAAGAGTACACCCTGTTATAAAAATAGAGCAGCCTGGGTGGTGCCTGTGGCTCAGTGAGTAGGGTGCTGGCCCCATATACTGAGGGTGGTGGGTTTGAACCTGACCCTGCCAAACTGCAACAAAGAAAAATATCCAGGCATTCTGGCAGACGCCTGTAGTCCCAGCTACTTGGGAGGCTGAGGCAAAAGAATCACCTAAGCCCAAGAACTGGAGGTTGCTGTGAGCTGTGACACGAAGGCACTCTACTAAGGGCAACAAAGTGAGACTCTGTCTCTTAAAAAAAAAAAACAAAAAAATAGAGCAGCCTATGGCTCAGATGATGACACCATCAGGAAATGATGGATGGAACTCACAGCCAATAAAGGATCAGGGGAGAAAACAATTGGCTAATATTATGAAAACTCAATCCAGAGTATAATCAGCAATAGAACCCAAAGCTCCATTCAATGCTTTCCAAATTTTTTTTCCCCAAATGAATGGGAATTTAATATGAATCTATGCACCTTACCAGACATGTTTATGCTTCCTACCAGAGATGTCTTAGCAATTCCGTATTCCTCACAAAGTCAGGATAATTGAAAAAGAAAAAAATCAATTCTAGTTCTGAATATTCATTCACAGTTAACTTCAAAAATGTATATGATATATACACAGAATGACTGACTACCTTTGACAGGTAAAAACATATGGTCCTCAGTCCCAAGTGGAAGAGTTAGTGGTTAACTCCTATTAGAAGGCTTCACATCCATAGTATCTGATAAAGAACTTTTATATATGGAATCTTCTTCACTCGCAATAGGCTCCTCTACACAAGAATCTAGAATTTTATCTGCACCAGAATGGACTTTTGTTTGTGCTTCTTTAAACTTTTAATATCTGGGCAGCACCTATAGGTCAGTGAGTAGGGCACTAGCCATATATACCAAGGCTGATGGGTTTGAACCCGGCCCAGGCCAGCTAAACAACAATGACAACTGCAACAAAAAATAGCCAGGCGTTGTGGTGGGTACCTGTAGTCCCAGCTTCTTGGGAGGCTGAGGCAAGAGAATCGCTTAAACCTAAGAGTTTGAGGTTGTTATGAGCTATGACACCATGGGCACTCTACCAAGGGTGACATAGTAAGACTCTATCTCAAGAACTAATAATAATAATAATAATAAAATAATAAACTTTTAATATCTGTATGAGAATTTCCACATAATTTGCAGATAAATGGTCTTTATCCTGTATAGGATTGAAAGTGCTTACTGATGGCCAAGAATGGTAACTCATGCTGTGGAAGGCTGAGGTAGGTAGATTGCTTGAGCTCAGGATTTTGAGACCAGTCTAAGCAACAGTGAGACCCCCAACACAACTAAAAATACAAAAACTAGCCAGGAGTTGTGGTGGGCACCTGTAGTCCCAGCTACTCAGGAGACTGAGGTGAGAAGATCACTTCAGCCCAAGAACTTGAGCTTGCCGTGAGCTATGATACCACAGTACTCTGCCCCAGTGAGAGTGAGACTCTTTTTTTTTTTTTTTTTTTTTGAGACAGAGCCTCAAGCTGTCCCCCTGGGCAGAGTGCCGTGGCATTACAGCTCACAGCAACCTCCAACTCCTGGGCTCAAGCGAGTCTCCTGCCTCAGCCTCCCAAGTAGCTGGGACCACAGGCGCCCGCCACAACGCCCGGCCATTTTTTGGTTGCAGCTGTCGTTGTTTGGCGGGTCCGGGCTGGGGATTCAAACCCGCCACCTTAGGTGTATGTGGCTGGCGCCTTAGCTGGCTGAGCTATAGGCGCCGAGCCAAGAGAGTGAGGCTCTTATCTCCAAAAATTAAAATAAAAAAAAGAGAGAAGGGCGGCGCCTGTGGCTGAGGGGGTAGGGCACTGGCCCCATATACCGAGGGTGGCAGGTTCAAGCCTGGCCCTGGCCAAACTACAACAATAAAATAGTCAGGCAGGCGACTGTAGTCCCAGCTACACGGGAGGCTGAGACAGGAGAATCGCCTAAGCCCAGGAGTTAGAGGTTGCCGTGAGCTGTGTGATGCCTCAGCACTCTACTGAGCGTGATAAAATGAGACTCTGTCTCTACAAAAAAAAAAAAAGAATAAGAA